ATTCTTGCTTTCAAAGCCAAAAAGATTAGGTTTCTGAAGCATGGGCCGTGTATGCAGAAAACAGACATATATAGGTCTCTACATGCACGCCTGGGTGGTATTTCTTCAAATACTATAGTCCTAGCAGTGATTTTATTTAGTCTGGTTGTTCCTAAGACAAACATACATAATTTTAATTAAATGCACATCTAAATGTCGGGAAAACCATCTTGAAACAATTAGACCGTTCATTGTGGCAGGAGGTTTTAGGGCAATGATACCTCCCACTCCCTCACCTCCCCCATGGAAAGAGAACAGATGGGCGTAGGAAGCACCCTGACTCCATAAACACAGCCTGCAGCCATGACTCTAAACACGCTGGAAAGTCCCTTCTCTTCTCTTATTCTCTTCTGATCCCCAACACCACCCTTCTTTCACTTTTTCTTCAATGAATTCCAGCCATTCAAGTGCTTTCCCTTTTTTAACCCCTCTTTGAGAGGTTTCAGAGGGAGAAAACTTTCAGACAAAGTATCTTATCTTTCCCTGAAGGAAACATGCCAAGAAAAAAACAGAAAAGTCTGAAGAATTACCAAACCACCCATCTGGCTATTGACCTTGGCTTACATTCTGGAGAATGTCTGCTGAGATGGCTGCCTTTGCTGCCTCAGTCTTTTGGATCATCTGGCTCTCTAGGCAGTAAAGGCCGAGGATTTCTCTATTTAAATTGCACTGGAAGCTGGAGGAGCAGAAGTGTCAGCGTGCACCGTTCACCAGGATCGTGCTATTCTTCTTGAACCCACGCTGACTCCTAATTAATTTACCCAGGAGATACTATTACCAGCAGAATGAGTGTTTCCTTCGTAAGAACTGTGCTGAAAAGTCATTTCCACAAATACAGACTGAATGCCTCTTCCATTCCTGCAGCAGTGGGAGAGACCAACACCACGACAAAAATCACAGAAGCCCTGTCCTCAGGGAGCTTCCTGTGTTGTAAGAGGTTCTAAGCCTTTTAGAAAACAGATTTTTCTTAGGCTGTAGACTTCTCTGTTGTTCTGTCAAAAACAATAAAATACAGCAAGTTCTAAATCAAGATTCCAGTATTTCAAGGAGAAGAAAAATCAAAAAAAGGCCTGAGATCATCAGGGAGGAAGGATTCTGGGCTGGACGTAGAACCTGGGCAAACATCCAGATGTTCTTACACGAGGGGAGGGTGAGGAGCCGCAGCCCCACCTCCAGCAGAAGGCAGGCACCTGTGGGAGGAGCCTGAGAGCCCAAATCAGGACTCCAGGCCATCTGGCAGTGGGGAAGCATGGTACCTCACTGAGCAAAATTACAAAGTGGGTTATCACAAAGGCTCACTAGAAAATAGGCCTCCAGCCGAATTTTGATATGGGGAGTGTATAAATCAAAGGGTAAGCCCAAACAAAGAGGCAGAGAATGAGGCCAAGTCCTGTCAAGGATCTAACTTTCAAGTATGTGATCTGGCCTTACGCTTAGAGTCAAATGCACAACATCCCATACACGTCCACAGACAGATGCTGGCCCTGCAAGCTCCGTGGGGCTGGGGGAGCCCAGAGCTTCAACAGAGGGAACACACTGTGCTGGTTTGTCACGCACGGATTCAGAGCTGCTCCTAGGAAGTTCCTCATTCACATGCTCCCTAATCAAATGCACGTGGAAAAACAGGAACAACAAAAAAGTCTCCACAGCTTTAGACAACTTCAGGCGTGAGGGAGACACGTGTGTATCACGCAAGTTAGGCTGACCCAAATACAGAAGGGCAGACCTCCAAAGGAGAGAAGGCTAAAGCCAGGAGAAAGACACTGCTTGAGGCTCACTGTCACAACAGGACACTTGGCCCTGCATGATTACATGGTACCAAAAGGACAAGAGAGGTGGTTCCCAACACACAGCCCACCCCCCTCATTCTGAATACTAAGACCATTTAGATTGCAGTGAAAATATGAAGCCAGATAGATTTAATTTCATGGTGGCTTTTAAAATTAAGTTCTTACAGTTAATAATTTTAATCATCAAAAAGAATATCCCAAGCAGAAAAATTAAATATTAACGGATAATTACTTAGGGAAAACCTTGCCCTGAAAAAGTAGTCATTTCCTCCTCCTCCTTTTTTCTTAAGAGTTCCTCTAACTTTCTATTCATGTCATTGAAGGAAAAAATGGTGGACTTCTAAGTGCAAAGGTAGAGGGTGAACTGGTTCTAGAGTTAATTAAGGGAGAGCTTCATCACATGAGCCTTGGTTTTATCATCTGCAAAATGGACGTGGTGATTTTTATATAACTGCTGTGTGCACTTCTACCATGAAAAGAGAATAAAATAGTGGTTCAACCTATGCTATGGATAAACCCTGAAAACATTGTGCTGAGTGAAAGCAGCCCAGAGACAAAGGGTGCTCTATGGTATGGTTCCATTATATCAAATCTCCCCAGAATAGGCAAATTCATAGGAACAGCAGATTAGCGGTTGCCAGAGGGAGGGGGAGAGTACGCCAAGGAGTGGCAATGCCTAATGGATACAAAAAGTTTCCAGAACTAGATAGATGATGATGGTTCCAAAATACTGTGAATGTACCGCACATCACTGACACGTATGCTTTAAAATGGTAAAGTTTATGTTATGTATACTGTATCACAATAAAGAGAATAGGAAATAACTCAGGCTGTCTAGTCTATACACAACAAATATTTTATTAACATTTAAAGCTATAAAAGGTACAAACATATTAAGATGAACAAGCTGTGACTAAACTGCTCATCTACATGTACTATCTTCTTTCTGGTGATAGTACTGTCTTAGATGAAATGATTAGAAACATCTCCCATTTGACTGAGCTGGCTGTAGATTGTCTTGTGCAGACATGTGCAAAGCTGGGCTGCGAGGAGTATGAGCCAAGAAAGCTGTCTCAGAACAAGACGTAGCCCGAAAGCACCACGTCTACTGCCAAAGTCTCAGGGTAGGTTTGGGAGTGTGGCTCTGCCACTGTAGCTGAGACAGCACTGACAAATATGGCACCCTGGGAAAAGCTGCACTAACTCACTCAACAGCTATTTTTTAGTATCTACGACAAGTCAAGCAGTGGGTTAGGTGATGTAACTACAGCGGTGAACTACAATGTCACAGTCCCATCTATCCAGGAAATCACAATCTAGAGTCAAGAAGAACTAAACGTTACATAAATGTTGCCGAGCAGACAAGTGACTCAACAAAACACCAGCGAACGATCCAGGCCCACCAACTACTGGGAGTCCAACTCCCAAGTCAGAGCCCCCAGAGAGGCCTGTGGGAGGTGGGAAGTCAAGCCGAGGCTGATGGCAGGGAGCTCACCCTGGAGCTGGCAGAGGGGACAAGCCCAGCTCTGAGAGGACCCGGCTGGAAATAATTAGACCGATTCCTTCTTCCCTTTGTGTTCCAGCTAGCAAGGACCCTGCTAGTGCTCAGCCCCTTAAGCTATCTTGCAGCTCCCTAGACAACAGGGTTGCCATCTATGCTATGGGATCTAATGGGTACCAGGAGGGTTTAATTGGCAAAATTTGCTAAAATGTGATGTTCAATCTTCCCCTGAAATTTTACCTTTTATTCTCATTACTGCTCCATCAATCTAATTTCTAGATGATGGCACTCTCTGGTTGAACCTACATGGGATACCTTTAAAAATACCGATTCCTGGGCCTCTCCACAGACCAAGTGGTTCTGAGCATCTGGGGTGGGCTTGGCATCAATATTTTTTAAAAGCACCCCCAGGTGATTGTAAGTAGGGGCTGCCAGGATTGAGAACCACTCAGGTAGGATAAGAAGGGAAGGGGACTGGCTTGATCAAGTGCCTACTAGGGCTGGGTACTGTGCCGGCAGGAATGGATACCCTTTTCCTTGCTCCTTGGGTGGAAGAACTCTGAGGTTTATTTTAAACGTGGGTTTAAAAACTATTTCTATAAAGGGCTGGATAGTTAATATAACTGTTAGTTTTTGTGAGCTATACAGTCTTTGTCTGGACTACTCAAATCGGCCTTTGCAGGGTGCAACAGCCATGCACAATGCTCAATGAATGGATTTGGCTGCATTCCAATAAAACTTTATTTACAAAGACAACAAGTCATAGTTGCTAACCCCTGTTCTAAGTCTAAATAGATTCCCAGAGGTCCTCCAGCTGCCCAGAGCACTGACCTGTCAGTAATACACTATATAGGTTTCAGCGCCTACTTTGCTTCCTGGCTATAGAAACTAGCTGCACTCAAGTCCTTGTCTCAGAGCCTGCTTGCTGCTGGGGATACACAACCAAAGTCAGTATTTTGTTTTATACTCATAAGTAACCTAGCAGTTGAATACTGTCTCCATTTTACAATGAATAAATTAAGATTCAAGGACCACACAACTCATAAGTGATAGAGTTCAGTTAAGAAGTCTGATTAGCTCCAAAGTCAATGATGTCTCTACAGTATGACCAGAGTAAGGATGGATACAAATAAACAAATAGGTACACACTTCCCAATACCAGTATTTAATCAAATACATAGTTTTAATTATGGTAGGCAAGAGCCCAACATATGGCAAATCATTAAGCAGAATTTATCCTGCTCATGTCATTACCAATCTATGTTAAGGAAGGAGTTTGAAGAGAAATAATCATATTAAGTAGTAAGGTTTGAGGGTTATGAAAAAATTTTCTCTCTTTCATGATGTTTCTAATCCAGGATATAATTCACTTCCCACCTATCAGCTGGTTGCAATCTTGCTGCTATTTCTTATTTGGTGAAATCTTTGGTTAGACCTGGTAACAAAGAGTCATTCAAAGTAAAGCCCAATGTGAAATTTGGAACCAAAAGAGAAAGGAACTCGATTAAAAATCCTCTTACATATTTTAACATGGGGAGGTTGGGGACAGTAATTTCACAGAGTCCCCTTAAAAGGCACTTGGGAAGTTCTCCTGTAGATTCTCATGATTCCAGAGAACATGCTGAGAAAACCAGAACTGGCCCAGTTAGAAACCAAGCGTGTTAGCTTACGCGGTCTTGCCCTCGCTGTCGTGCTTGGTGGCACTGGCCCCCTTCTTGCCCAGCAGTGAGGCCACCTTCTCCACATCTCCATTCTCCACGGCCTGCAGCAGCCGATCATCATTCTTGTTCCACTCATTGGTCTGTGGAGCAAAGGGGAAAAGCACAGCTAGTGAACAACAGAGGCCATGGCCAGTCTGAGCTGCAGGCCCTCGGTTCTCCCAGCTCCTCCCTCCTATCCCCAAATGAGCAACTTTAAAAATACCTTTCCCTTCATGGTGGAGACACTCAGGAAGGCCGGCTTCCCAAAAGAAAACATCAACAGTTCAAGTAGCAGCTGGTCACCAAACTCTGAAATAGTTACTTCTTTTAACTGACACTGGGAAGATGAAGCAACCTAAAAAGACCTCGAGGCCAGTTTACACATTAGCTTATTTCTAGCTAAACTTGACAGCTGGCTCCTCAGAACACTGGCCCTTGACCTGGTCCACAGCTCACTGGGCCCACTGTGTGGCAGACCCAAACTGGCTAACAGCTCATTACGTGAGGGTTCATATGTGCACATATCTGTCTGCTGTTACTGCCATTCTCCTGGCCTGTTCATTGGGCCCTGATTTTTGAACTGTACACTGATTTTAAGTGGTTGTCCAGGCTACCAACTCAACAAAGGATCACTGAAACAAAACCTCTTCCTGAGCAAGCTAGGAAACAGCAAACGGCTCTGAACAGCCTCTACCACCACCAGCTGCCAGCTCCACAGAGCAATTCTACAAACAACACTCTGGAAAGCTTTCATGTGCACCAAAAGTAGTTTTTCTCTTACAGAGTAAAGAGAGGATCTCCATATAAGATCCAAGGGCCTGGAGTACAAGACTAAGGAATTTCACATGAGAAAAGGCAGCAGGGAGCCATTGAACATTTTGGAACAGAGGAGTGAGAATAAAACCAGTGACTCAAGCAAAGTCATTGAGAGGCAAATGAGGCATATAGGGTTAAAGGAGGGAGAACAGATCCTAGGGCACATCAAGGTCCCCAGGCTCACTCCAGGCCTGGCCTGCCCTTCAGAGTTCCCCAGCCAAGCCTAGGTTTTGGGCCCTTCAGCTGTGGATACCACCACCCTAGCAGAGCCTCCTCCTCCCTCCCCAAAACTTTTTATAGACGGTTCTCCAGAGCTCTCTGATTCCTTATGACCTCTGAAGATAAGAGCCTCTGGCATTTCATATTAAAGGTTTTGTCATGGGTCACTATAAAGAAGTACACAGAGGAGATACTGGAGATTTGAAAGTTAATGGCGGGGGGTGGGGGGGTGGGGGGGGTGGAATTTTATAGGCCCAGGAGCATGTTTCCCCGGTTTCCATGCACCGATGGAACTGAGAGACCCAGTAGGACTCCGCCCTCCACAGAGCAAGGGTGGATCTATGAGATGTCCCAGACTCCCCTCTGACCCCAGTCTAGGGCAGGGCCTTGGAAGAAAGCCACAGGCCATGAAGGGGTACAACAGGTGTACCCAGAGTGCACAGAAGGAATCTGCTTCTCTGAGAGTCTCCGGACTGGGCCACTCCCATCTCTTAGGACTCCCTCTTCCTCCACAGCCATCACAAAATGCGAGCACAGGAAGAGCACGATAAGTTGAATGAAAACCAGAAGTCTCTCCTCTAGGCTACATAAAGTCCAGAATTCCTAACTGATATTTATCATGCTATGGACCTTAAGTCACCCCAAACGCTCTGTGCCTCAGTTTCCCAAGGCTCTGAACTGGATGACCCTTGTGATTCCTCTAAAGCTCAAAAAGCTTCATCTATAAATGCCCCAAAGCAACTTTGCTAGGAATTATTCTAGAAAAGCACTGTCTGCAATAATGAAAATGTTCTACATCTGTACTGTCCTAGGCCAGTAATTCTCAACTAGGGCTGATCCAGCTCCTCAGGAGTCACTTGGCAGGCTCTGTAGACATTTTCAATTGCCATGACTACAGAGAGCTACTGGCATTGAGCAGGTGGAGGCCAGGGGTGCTGAACGTGATACAAGGCACAGGACCAGCCCCCTTGCCGCAATAATCAGCAAGCCCACAATGTCAATACCACATTAGTCACATGCAGATATTGAGCACTGAAAATGTGGCTAGTCTGACTGAGGAACTGAATTTTTTAATTTTAGACTTCAAGGGCCAGTAGCTAGTGGCTATACAGCTCTATATGACACTTCTCTATGTATTGTTAATAAAAAATGAATGTGTTTGGGCTGAGGTCATCCATACTTCTCCCATAACAATTCAGTTATTCACACAAAGAAGACAGTAGGTTTTAACTTCAATTACAAGTTAAAATAGGCTTCCTATTTATTAAAGGGGAATACAATAAATATATTGCCCCAGGTAGAAGCATTTGTTAGAGTAACAGGAAGCTTTAGTTAGCAAAAAACATAGCAAATACCAAGAACCAGATTGAAGTTTATTTCCCCCAGACTGCATTTGACAAGCCAAAACAAGAGTTCAAGTACATTTAGGGCCAATGGTTGCTACTTACATTATTGCAAAGCTCCATTATTAGCGCTGTCTTTAAAATCCTTCCCTAACTTAAACTGACCAATTAAAACTGGATTGGGAAGATCAAAAGGGTATTAAATCTCAGAGGATATGATTAAAAGCATTTAAGTAAAGAAAGGCACATGAAAGGATTTTCCTTCTCAGTGATGCAAAGGCACTCAGCTTGTAGAGAAAAATTTGATTGCAAGAGTTCCCTAAAATTAGTTCCACGTGGATATTTGGGGAGTTCAATATCTACAGAACGTAAAGATCCCCCTACCAACCCACCAATTTTGGAGGACAAGGTCAATGGCCCATCTCTTGAAGTCTAAAATTCTCCTCTTTTATTTGGAGTCTCTCCTCAATGCAGGCCAGAAGTTCGTTTTCTCTTACAACAGATGAAGCAAAGAGAACATGGCTTCCCACACACAATTTTTTTTTTATTGAAATATCATTGATATATGATCTTATATAACACACAAACATTTAATAAATAATCCACAACACCATTCAACCTGTGGGTGGGTAGGGTTGGTTCGTGGTTAGCAGCAAGAAGGAAAAAGATGGGTGGTATACATACTGACCTCAGAGAACAAAGTGGGGAGGCAAGGGCAAACCTGAAGGAGCTAGGGAAGAGGAGACATCAGTTGGGAACTGAGAAGAGAAAAAGTTTTACTGTTAAAGTTCTCACAAGTAAAAGTGGAGGCCAAGAAAGGTGCAATCAGACCTCTAGTCCAGGCATGTGGATTCTGAAAAATGAGTCTTCAAAAGTGAAGGACATTACCCCGACTGCTGGCCAGCGCTGCAGGGAGCCAATGCTCATGTAAATGTAAGAATTCTTTTCTGGGTCAGGCTGCTGGTCATACTAGTAATGAGTTCTGACGTTCACAAGCAGCCACACCATGTTTCTTCCAAAATCATGGCGTTCAAGGTGCCATCACTTTCCTCTCCCAAACCTGGAGGTATGCTGTGTATTTTCTCCTATAAAGCCATTCTATCCATTGCTACATTCAAAAATTCCATGGCTCATCACAAGAAAAGACAAAACAGATGTTTAGTAAATACTTTTAATGTCATTGCTCCTGAGAAACCAGAAGCAATTTCCTCTCCTCTGACCTCCATCCCTCTGCTAAGTGGTACTAAATTGAAATCCAAGCATCAAAAGGAATCTTTGAAAGTTATCTTGGCCAACCCACTGTCCAAAGGTAACGTTAGTCAGGTAAGTAGTGATATTGTGATATAATAAGAAATATGTATTTAGTCTTTGTCCCTGGTTCCTAGCTCCAGAGCTTCCAAAACCCATAGAATTTGCTGAGCAAGAGAAGTAAGGATCAACTTTTGTTATTCATAATAAGCCCCTCTCCACCTGACCTGAGCTTATGTTAATGAGATGGCTGGTAGCCCCTAGAGAGCTTCAGGATGGGGACTGACAGAGGAACCAGCAGGTAATTAGAGGACTAGAACCTTCAGGCCCCACTCCCCCACCCATTCCCTATCTCTGCGGAGAAGAGAAGGGTAGCATCTAGTTGATCACCAATGGCCAATGATTTAGTCAATCATGCCTATGTAATGGAGACTCTATAAAAATCCCTAAATCACTCCTAAATCGTGGGGTTGAGAGGGCTTCCAGGTTGATGAACACAGGGAGGTGATGGGTGGGTGATGATAAATAGGGCACGAAGCTTTACTGGTGCACACATACACACACACACCATCCATTTGGCAGTTTCTGAGTTGTATTCTTCATACTATACTAATAAGTAAAGTACCTTCTAGAGTTCTGGGGGCTGGTCGGTCAAAAGTGAGAGCCCAGGACTTACCATCAGCAGCTGAAGTAGGACCATCTTGTGGGACCAAGCCCTTAACTTGTGGGGTCTGAGGTTACCTCCAGGCCATTAGTCTCGGAATCAAATCAAATCACTGGACACCCAGTTGGTGTCGGGAGAATAGGAGAATTGGTTGTGGGTATGAAGAAAAATCCCTCACATTTGGTATTCGAAGTGTTTTGTGTAAGAAGTAGATCATAAGACTGGTAAGTTTGAAATTTTGCCATAACATCCCAAAGTAATTCCCTCATACTCTGGAATCGTGGAAAGCCCCTGGAGACTACCATCACTTCAGCAATACGTCCTCTCACCATTTCCCAAGAAAACCCCCTCCTCTAACCGGCATCCCCCTCCAGGGTGGCTTAGTTCTGCCTCCACACTGGGCTCCTGGTCCCCTTAGAACAGTGTTTTCAACTTATTAATGGGTTAACCTAACATTTTTAAAAAATGAAATAGAAAAAAATATATAAAATATCAGGTTTATCATATTTAGTGACATTAAATGTTTTATGAAATTTTTGCTTTGTATGTATGTGTGTCCTGGGTGGTGATGCAACATACTATTTTCCCCTGGGAATCACAATAAATAACACTGGATGCCACTGCTTTAGAATGCTCTGTCCTCCCATCTGCCTCTGGAAAGAGTTCCTTTGAAGGCCCAGCTCCAACCCTTCAGGCCTTTCCAGCTGACCTCTCTTTGCTCCTCCCCTCAGGCAAGTCCTGAAGGCCCTGCCTACTCATCTGACTGAAGCCCACAGTCCAGACTTGATGAAATATTACATCAGTGCAAGCT